CCACTGTCTGCCTTCCTTAACTGGACCCTGTATTCAAGCCAATTACAGTGTTTTACAGAATCTATTTGAAGGAGTTTTATGATTGCTAATCAGCATTTTAAAACAAACAACTCTTTCACACTTCTCTCTATAAATTACTAAATCACTTCACCTTTTGGGTGGATCTCAGGGACCTTGATAAGCAGAGGCTTTCATTTTTGAAGCTATGATATTGCTTGGCCTTTCCATCATATCCAAGTATTTTTTTTAATTAACCAAGGCATAAGTAAGGTGTGCTGAAATACGGTACAAAATAGGGTGGTTTTTTTTTCTTCCAAAAATAGGCCCATCTGCTAGTTTTCATTCACCTCATCAGAGCATGTTTATTCTGGCGACTAACAAGCTTTCTGATTTCATCAGCAAGGAAAGGATGTTTAGCAAGCCAGGCTTCCTCCACATTTGTTACATTTCACGCGTGAACTTGCAACCCCCAAAAGACATCTTTCTGTGGCTCCAACAGAAATGGAGATCACTAGGTGGAATAATGGATGGCAGCTGTTGCAGAGCTGTCTTCTTAGGCTTCCCCACTTCCGCTTGGTTTCACCCATTCTGCCAATAACAGCCCAAGGCCCCCCACACTCAAACTCCCGTGCTTCTTTCCAGGAAGAATGTGTGCTCATTTCCAAATAATAGGAGATAACAAGACGAGCTCCCTCCCACAAGTTGTAGCCATCAGCCCCAGCAGTGTACACCTTCAGTGGTCAGACCTCTTTTTTAGCAACACTCACCTCCTCACATGATTGGGAAATGAAGGGTAGCAGGGGTGTGGTGTGGGGGGGCGAGGAACAACTGATCTGGATTCCAGGCTAAGGGGTTTGAACTATTCTTAGAGCCATCCAACTACAAGCTTTCTATCTAAGCAAGAAAATGCTGAGGTTGCATTGAGAGTTCAGTGTGGCCTCAAGGTTAGCTCGACTTGGGGATCAAATTGACTTTCCTGCATTTCTATTTCTACAGTCTTAAGAACCTGTATAACTCGTCCTTCCCCAACAGTTCTACGATGTATTGGTACACACAGGCCCATAATCGGGCTCCTCTGTTCATACCTGTGGACACTGCTTATTCATTTGTCCCTGCTTCCTCTCTGGCTTCCATTAGAAATTCATGGACACTGAGCATTGTGCTTGCTTTCATAAACTTACAAAATAGGAAAGAGCTTAGGAGAAGGATCACATTACACATTAAGCTGCCTTCTGCCTTTCCTTGGTTCTACCAATACATCCAAACTCTCTCCTCTTTGCTGAGTTTCTCTCAAGAAAAACCTTCAGGTTCTTCTCCTTGGGCATGTAGAATAGTGGTTCCTCTATCCACAGTGCTACCTGACTGCATAGCTACCCTAAGCAGCTGGCTGATGAGGAATTTTTGCAGTAAAGACAATCCTTCGGGTATTATTCTAAAGAAAAATGATCATAGCATGAAGAAGTTTACAAAGGAAACTTTCCCTTTATCGATATTGTTTTGAATAATGCTACTTCATTTGTATAGTTTACCATGCATTGAGCAGCTCACTTGATACACATATCAGAATGGTAGAAGACGACGTGAAAATTTATAGCCACTCGAAACCTGGAGGAGCTAAAAGACTTGGCCAATTGCTGGGCCAGAAAGTGATCAAGCTGATATTTGAGCCTCAAGCATTTCAACTGGGGACCCCTGTGTATTTTTCCACGTTTTACTATGCTACATGCACAAGCCAAGATGGCAGCTCCCACACTAGGGCAACCACATGCTTGGATACAAGGACAATCTTGAACTCGACCAAAGAAGACATCTCTCATTATAGACGAGAGTCACTTCCAAGCCCTAGTGACAAAATACATGGTTTTCCTCTACTTTCTTCTCCCATTTCCCATGGCTAGGTTATGTACAGTGTCCTAGGCTTTGGAAGGTCCTTGCTAACCCTTGGTAGCTCAAGCCTATATCTGCCCATCTCTCAGCTGAGTGTCACCAGTGCTGCTCCTGATGTGGACTCACAAATTAGGGAACTCATGCGGAAGAATGACTCTGATTTAGAATTAGAAAAACCCTACAATCTTACCTAGCCCTCTGGGCATTATGGGAGAGTGACCTGGAAAAAAATCAAATGCAGAAAAGTGTCCCCAAAAATATAGGAGTCTTCTTTGAGGCACAGTCAAACCTATTAGCTTGAGAGATTGGCTTGGAAATCTTATTAAAAGAGACAAATCAGTCCGCATTCACTCCAGACTGAAGATATTGGGGGTAATAGACTTTCCACGAAGCTTGGGATCCATACACATCATGTCAGGATCACAGCCAAACTCTGGCAAGGTTAAATTCAATGCAGGCGATAAAGGCAATTATTTTTTTTTAAAAAATAAAAAACCTGGGCAGCTCTGATTAATTCCAAGTTCTCAGCCAGTCACAGACTTATCTGTCCCAGTCCCTCATTACTGTGAAGGTTGCAAGTCAGAAGAGCCAATGGCAAAGAGAAATGAAGTTCAAATCATGGATTTGTCATTTCTGCACAGCTCAGCAGCAGCAGATTGTCCAGCCATGGAGGCCCGGGGTGACCAGCGCTCTCCACACACACACACATTCACCCCTCCTTTCTCAACAGGCTTTGATTAACCCTCTGTGGAGATGCTTGGGAAGCAGAGCACCATGGCTGCAATTTGTGTGCCTTTGTTACTTACAAAGAATGATGTGACGATGAGTCCTTCCCATTTAAATACAATCTCCATCTTACAGGGGATTCAACTTAGGATTTTACTTTTTAAATTTTACAGTGTTGTGAATAAAATACACATTCCGTAGGCACCATATTTCAAATTTTGAATCTGGTTATCTTCCTGGACATAGTGACATATAGTATGATACTGGCTGAAGAAGCTGTATGAACAGCAAGCTGCAGTCAGTCAGCCAGTGGATACCAAGGGGAAACAAGGAGCAGCCTACTTTATGCAGCCCTGGGTTGCTAAGCTACAATGTTCAGGAGGTTACATATATTAAATGTAGCTCTCTCTGTCTCTCTCTTTCTTTCTCTCTCCCTCTCCCAACCCTCTTCTGGCAGTACTGCAGTTTGAACTCAGGGTCTTGTATTCATTTGACTTTTGCTGGCTCATCAGCTGGTGCTCTGTCACTTGAGCAATGCCTCCAGTCCTGTTTTTGGCTAGTTACTCTGGAAATGGAGACTATAGCGCTTTTCTTCCCCAGCTGCTCTCAAAGTGAGATTCTCCAGATCTCAGCCTCCTGAGTAGCTAGGATTATAGGCGTGAGCCACTAATTACAGCGTGTGTTTTTTGTTTGTTTTGTTTTTTGGCTTAATGATCTTTTCAGCTCATGACGGGTTTATGGGTATGTAGCCCAGCGTTAGTCAAGGCACCTGTGTAGAACAGTTAGGATGCAAGGGCAATGTTTTAAATGATGCAAGAGCTATGTTTTATTTTCTTTTGTTTACAAAGCTTTATTTGCTGGGGCATTTGGGCCATAATATTCCAGCCACGGCTATACAGTGAATGATGTTATCTCTAGGGAAGAATTATAACTTTCCACAGTCAGAAGGCAAGTGCTGTGATTTTTTCCCCTCTCTTACATTCCTTTCCTCCCTCCTCTTCTCTCCTAATTCTACTTCTAGAAAAAGGAGATAGTAAGACATTTTGATATGTAACTTCCCAGGGTGAGTTATCTGTTCTCCATCAATAAAAGAGAAGCCAATGGTCCCCTCACATGCCAAGCTTGTATCAGACGAGGCCACCCTACCTCCATGAGTCTCCTCCATCATTCTAGCTTTCTGTCTGCAGGCTCATGTGTGCACGCAGGGTACATGGCATGAATGACACAATTCCACACTGCACATCTTCTGAGCAACTGTCACACGCCTTTCTATCACATGCTATCTGTCCACACCTAAGAGGCCACAGCAAGTATGCAGCCTCAGTTGTAGTTTGCCTCTGGGCATCATGTCTGGGCCCTAGAGCCCTGGACAGGATCCATCTGTATGCCCAGGAAATTGAGGACAGGTGCTTTCCCCCTTCACAGCTATACATACCTGCCATTTCCCTCAATATTCTTTCCTCAACAGAGTCATCTCCCAGCTCATCAGATACAGAAAGAGATGAGGTATCTCCTTGATGACAAGATGTACAGTTTATGATCTTAGGCCAGGATTTCTAAATGTCTATACTACCAGTGTTTGGGGTCAGACAACTTAGTGGGAACTACCCTAGGCACTGTGGAATCTGCAGAAACATTTTAACCTCTCCTCACTCAGTACTGATCACAATCTTTAAGTGGGTCAGGACAAAACAGCCTCTGGGAACTACTAACTTAAATTGAGGGGCCGTGCTGGCTTATTGTTTTCAGCTGTACTTTCTAATTCTTCCCAATTCCAGTTTTATAAAAAAAAAATAGATTATCAACAAGATCTCTTCATAGTAGGTAGCTTTTCTCAGGATACAATGGCAGCATAATTATCCCAATTTACAGACAAGAAACAGGTTGAGGGGCACACAACGAAGAAGTAGCAGAGCTGGAATTTGGCTCCAACAGGGCCAGATGCCCAAGCTTATATTTTCTTTTATAGTACTCATAATTTAATCATGAATGGACCCTGTGTAAGAAGGGAGAATGGGGTTGTGTCTGCAACAATTGTGACAGTGATTAGAAAACAGGCTGTGCCTGCCCGCTCCTCAGCATTCTTTCTAATCCTGACAAAAGCATTTCAAGGTAGATACTGTCACCAATTTACAAATGAGAAAACCCGAGGCTTGCAAACCAAACAAATGGTTGGAAATCTGCATAGCAAAGCTTTTTGGGGCCCAGCGTTTGTATTCAGAGCCCTGACATTTCTGCACCCCTGAAAAAATAATACCGCCTCCCCAACAAGGAAACTGAGAGTTCTAATTCACTACATAATACTCTGCCATCTCTAAGAAAGGCTGACAATGCTGAGCCTCTCACTTTGTCCTTGGCTTCCCCTGTGACCTCTTTTCTCCTGTCAGCTCTGTATGCAGTACTGGCCCGAGAAGACATCCGGTTGCTATGGGCCCATCCAGGTGGAGTTTGTCTCTGCAGACATTGAGGAGGACATCATCCACAGAATATTCCGCATTTGTAACATGGCTCGGGTAAGTGTACATCCGCCATTGCTTGCCATTCCTCTCCTTTATAAAACAGATGGAGGCTGCCGGGAAAGGATCCTGTGGAGCCAGCCAGGAGTCTGTGTTGCGCTCTCCTGATCATCTCTTCCTTGGGGAAGTGATGATGCCGATTTGGGCTCCAGACCCAGCAATGGCTCCAACCTAGAGAGATGCAAAGAGTGGCATCCAGCTTGCCATCTGCCTGTTTCCTGACATGCTTGCTGCCATGTAGACAAAACTTCCCAGGCATTAGTTCAACCCCACTGTGGTGTACTGCCTTGGCACCTGCTCATGCAGCTCTCCATTGGATGCTGGAAGCTTTGAGCCATGTCCTGCGAGCATTGAGAGGGAAAGTAATTTGTGGCTTTCAAGAGAATATTCACTGCCTGAATACTGGGTAGGAGGGAGAAAAAAAACAAGCTATGAAATAAATGCTGGCTAATTATTGGTCTCTACTGGGAGCCCAGGGTAAGTTGAACTTAGTCTCTGCCCTCTGAATTTACTATCTAATGGGAAGGTGATATATTCTGGCATATGAACCTTGAAGAGAGAGAGAGAAAAAGAAAGGGAACTCAGTATGCTCAGGAAAGGTATACCTAAAGAGAAGGATATTTAAATTGAATTTGAAGACTGAGTAGGAGTTTACCAGGTAGAGAGGAGAGGAGAACCAATGTGTACAACAGAGGTAGAGTGATCGAAATGGGTATACCCATGATGGTATGGCTTAGTCCCTACTTAGCCTGTCTTCCAGAATTATCTGGAAGTTTAGTATCCCCAGGCATCTCCAGCAATGTTTTCCTGGAGAAACTAGCCCTAACTAGTTCTCTGTTTTCAGCCACAGGATGGCTATCGTATAGTCCAGCACCTCCAGTACATAGGCTGGCCTGCCTATCGGGACACCCCTCCATCCAAGCGCTCTCTGCTCAAAGTGGTCCGACGGCTGGAGAAGTGGCAGGAGCAGTACGATGGGAGGGAGGGACGCACTGTGGTCCACTGCCTGTAAGTACCGCGGAGGTGTCTCCAGCCCAGTGGGGTGCTGGGTGGCAGAGGCTCCCTGAGGGTGCTGCTGGCCACAGGTATCAGTCCTAGGTGCGTCCAGCCATACTCCATCTAAACATCCTTTAAAAGCCAGTCACAAGCCAGGTACTGGTGGCTCGCTTCTGTCATCCTTGCTACTCAGGAGGCTGAGATCTGAGGAGCTGAGGATCGAAGCCAGCCCAGGCAGAAAAGTCCCAGTAAGACTCTTATCTCCCATTAACCACTCAAAAACCAGAAGTGGTGCTGTGGCTCACAGTGGTAGCCACAAAGCCTTGAGCAAAAGAGCTCAGGGACAGTGCTCAGGCCCTGCATTCAAATCCCACAATCAACCACAACAACAAAAATATTGAAGACAGCTAGATATCCCAAATTGTTTGTTATATGGCACGTTCTTGAAAAAAATATGGTGGAGGCAGATCACCTTACGGCTCCTGGTACAGGGATGAGCTCTACTCACCAAAAGGATGCCTGCTGTGTCCGGCCAGTCAGATCACAGGAAAGCTCAGGACAACATGGATCCCACTGATCAATGCTTCCTTTATTATTTCTTGAAGAGGGAGAAAGGGAAAGGCATTAAGTTAACAAACCAAACATTTTTTTTTCAATGAATCACCCCACTCCATCTGTGAAGCAGACGTTATCATTTTGTAATGAGAAAACCAAAGCACCGATGGGGGAAGGGACAGGGAGTTGTGAGAGGATCTATGATGTGCATGCCAGGACCCTGAGCTAGCATGCCATCCACCTCCCCGCCATCACCCCACTGAGTCTGCTTCCTGCGGGAACATCTCTTACCATGGGCTCAAGGGGGGCACAGAGAAGGGGACTGATATATGGACTTGCAGGGCCCTGAGATCTCTAGGGCTCAGTGGGCCCAAGATCAGTTACTAGACGGACAGGGAGGCTTCACATCCTGTCATAGAATGGCACAGCCTCTCCATAGGAACCCCAATGTCATTGTGCCAGGTAGAGACTGTATTTCATCATCCGTGCCACATTAGGAAAATTACTGAGTGTTGTGAGCCTGGCTTTCCTCATCTGTCTTTAGATCAGTAGTGTTCCATCATGAAATAGTTAGTACCTGCCAGAACAGAGGTCAACAAGGCCATGGCAGCAAATATGAAAATGTAAATGTAATTACTCCCAAGTGTCACAGAGTTTACTTTAGGAGCATAAGAGACCACCAGGAAAAGATAGGACCAAGATCTGAGACCCGTGGCAAATCTGCAAGTGACAGTCATAGCTTTGTATGGGATGTGTAACTCACAGTCTGAGACCTGTGGCAAATCTGCAAGTGACAGTCATAGCTTTGTATGGGATGTGTAACTCACAGTCATTCATTTGCTTCTTAGAACGCAAATGATCTAGGGAGAAGCAACTGAGGAGACTTAGATCCTTAAAGATGCTTGTTCCAGTAAATTTGAATCAAAGTCCTCTCTCTGTCTCTGTCTGTCTGTCTTTCTCTCTGGCTCAGTCTCTGTCTCTGTCTGACTCTCTCTGTCTCTCTGTCTCTCTCTGTCTCTCTGTTTCTGTCTCTCTGTTTCTGTCTCTCTCTGTCTCTCTCTCTGTCTCTCTGTCTCTCTGACTGTCTGTCTGTCTCTCTTTCTCTCTCTCTCTCTCTGTCTCTCTCTCAGATAATTATTTCTGGAGCAAGTGGAAGCATTAGTAAGATTGCACTGACCCAAGAATTGAGTTTAGTCTTTTCAAATCCAGCTAATTGTTCATTCTCTGTTAAATAGGCGGTACACACCCGTCAGGAAAGTTAGACCTTAAGAGAGGTTAAACACACAAGTGCATCCTCAGATCTTAAGAGTCATAGAAATGCAGATCTAAGTGGAGTCAAGGAAGATTATGTGGCTACACTGTCAGGTTGATGGGTGACATCAACCACTCTAAGCTGTCTCTTGTAGGGAACTCTGAAGCTGAGCTGTGAAACCCGGAAAAGGTTTGTGAGTTGGAAGGCTGCCTTAACAGCACTCAGAACACTGAGAGGCGGCCGTGGAAGGGTTAAAACAGAAAACTCTGGAGAGGGTGAGAAGACAGGGTGCCCCACCCCTCCCCTTTCCTTAGGCTAGCAGCTGTGCTGGGGACCTTAGAGGCTCGACAAAAGACCTTCACAGCTTAACCTTGGACTAGATAAGTGGACATGATGTCTGGATTTTCCCTCGGCAGCAATCTCCTGTCTCAAAAGAATAGGGAGCCAGTGTCTCTCATAAACTCTGTTTTAGTTCTGATTGTAATATTAATATAGATGCTGTATGTTTTGCACGTATCTATGGTAACCTTCCCTGTGTGAAATCAAATAAATAGGCTTGTTTGTGGGGACTCAGGGCCCAAGTGCCAGAGAGCCTTGGGACCTCCCTGTCCTCACTGATTCCCATCTCTTGTCTCTTATCTCTCTATCTCGGTCTTTTCTAATTTTCTTCTGCCCTGTATCCCATTGTGCTGCCTTGGGTTGCAGTTAGCAACAACCCAGAAACTAGCAGCTGATTCCTTGCTGACTCTTGTTTCCTCCAATTCCCTCCACACATGTAGATGGCCCCACTGTTAGCACAGGGATACATCCAGCCCTGCAGGGTCTTACTCTTCCAAGCCCTAAGATCTACATCTTCTTGCCTTACCTCCTCTTCTTGTACTCTCTGTTCTTGCTTCAGAAAAACCTTCCTGGAAACTCTTCCTAGACCCAGGTTGTGTGTGTGTGTGTGTGTGTGTGTGTGTGTGTGTTTATACCTACCTTTTGTTTTGGTATGCTTATTTATTCATGACTCCCCTAGCCAAAGTGACCAACATAGCAGTGTCATTTCACCAACAGAGACATAATGCCCTGGAGAGGTCCCCAGGCAGCGCTATAACAACCACTGAAATGCATTCACCAGGGAGCAGGGACAGGGAGGGAAACTGCCTATACTGGAAGCATCTGGTCATGGGGAGTCCTGTAGGTAAAACAGCTGGGAGATGAAGGGCCTTAGTTTCTGTTCAGATGTTCCTTAGACACAGATCATTACATGAAATCATTAGCTGATCTTGGCAGCATGCCCAGGAGTTCAGAATCAGGTAGATTCCTAAAGGAGCTTTCTATAAAGCGTTTGAGGGGTGTTTCCATGAAGATGATTTATGAACCATAGAAAGAAGGAGCAACAGAAAGATTACCCTGCCAAGAGCACTCTATCCCCATACTCATGATCAGTGGGATCCTCCTTGAACCAGAGAGACAAGGAGAGACTGCCCAGACCCCCAGGCCTGAGTCTGGGCTGGCTGGCTTGATGCTGATAGAATTCTGCTGTCCTTGGTACAGGATGGGAAGAAACTGGAAAAACACCTGCAGCCTCCCATTGTCTTCACCAGATATGTAGATAGACCAGGGCATCATTTTAAAAAGAGATGTAGGCAGCATACTTACAAAGACACAATAGCATCCTGTCCTAAGAGTCAGTATGCTCTGGGCGACAATGGTGTGCTCAGAGAACCAAATAATTGAAGACTTCAAAGGTTACAGCTCACACTTGTAATCCTAGCTACTCAGAAGGCTGAGATCTGAGGATTATGGTTTGAAGCCAGCCTAGGCAGAAAAGCCACGGGACACTTATCTCCAATTAACTACCAAACAGGTTGAAGTGGAGCTGTGGCTCAAGCGGTAGAGTGCCAACAGCCTTGGGCATAAAAGCTAAGAGACAGTGCCCAGGCCTCAAGTTTCCTGGCACTCAATAGGACTCAAACCAAAACTCATCGCTCAGGCTGAAAGCTTTCACCAGGCCTTACCTTGCATTTCCCAGGGCAGCTGCTCCTCCCTACTTACCCTGTGGCTTTACGGTCAGTAGGTGCCCAGTGTGGGAGTAGGGGGGTCACTGGGAATACGGCTCACCTCTTCACTCTGTGTTTAGAAACGGGGGAGGCCGCAGTGGGACGTTCTGCGCCATCTGCAGTGTGTGTGAGATGATCCAGCAGCAAAACATCATTGACGTGTTCCACATCGTGAAAACCCTGAGGAACAACAAATCCAACATGGTGGAGACCCTGGTGAGTTCCAAACAGATGCTCTTCTACCTCCAGACACATGAAGTTTCCTGGACTTGACAAAGTGACATCCAATGGTAAAAAGTTTTCAACAGCTGGAATCTTGCTGAATACCTACAGTCCGTGTTCTGCATACACAGCTGTCTGCCCTGTTCCCTTCTCTTCCAACCAACTTCTCTTTACTGAAGGCCAATCCAAAAATGAATCCCACTGTCCCTACTTTGCTTTACTCTCTGCCGGGTCCTGAAGAAAAGGCTACTAATTTAGGCTCTGAGGAAAGGATTCCAGATGAATTGAGTGTGGGTTCTGTTTCCAGTTCAGTCCAAACCTATTCTATTCCACTTATGTTAGTTGTTACAGAATAAAGCATTGAACTAGGGCACTGGGGAAAGTATAATGAAGAGCTAGTACAGCAGTAGGGACAGACCATCTGAGGAGCTTTAAGATCATTCCACATGTCTACTCATGGGATGATCTTACTCAGATGAGATCCTAACCCAGAAGTGGTCCAGATACCACCAGCAGCAGCAGCACCTGGGAGTTTGTAGGAAAGGAGGAATCTCAAGCCTCACTCCAGATTTGCAGAATCAAAAGCTTCATGTTTAGCAGATATCCCTGAATGTTCTACACATATGTTACAACTCAGAGAAACACTGGTGTGAAAATAAAAGATAAAATGAAAGGGAATCCCAGCTGGACATTTGAGAAAGCTTGAGTAGAAGGCTGTAACAGGCAGAATCCCAAAGGATGTCCAGATATGGATCCTTGTGAGTGAACGCTTAGGCTAGATGTAGACAAAGTTTTTTCTAAAACCTGTAGCATCTAATCTAATATCCTTTCCCCCTTTTTGTCTTTCTTGTGCCTCCTCTTCTTTTCTATTTCTCCTTCCTCCCCCACCTCACCCAGGAACAGTATAAATTTGTATACGAGGTGGCACTGGAATATTTAAGCTCCTTTTAGCCCAATGGAATGAGGGAACCTGCTGGAATCCAGAGACTGCTGCAGCCTGATCCCCTTTATGACAGTGACTTGGCTCCAGGGCACATGGGTAGATCCTCTACCCTACCCCGAGGAGGATGAAGACTGGAGTCCCGTGTTCCACAGAGAGCTCCACACCTTCTGGAGGGTTCCCTGCAAGTGTGGGAGATACTGTGCTGGTGGGCCTAGGCTTCCCATCTATACCTGACCAGCCACAGCCTCGGGCCCAACCAGAAGTGCACACACACACAAGCAAGGCCCAAGACTTCCGGTTCCCAGACCTCTTGCTTTTGTTCTTTCAGAGTTTGTGGATCTTGTGGCAAACTGACTGTGCAGGCGCTGGGGAGCTAGAGGCTGGCCAGCACTTTCCTTCTCTTAACATGTGTTGGGGATGTAGGTTCTAGTCCTCCATGCTTTCATGGTAAAGACCAGGGCATTTGGAAGTCACTGCTCTACTGCCCCCTTCTATATTCCTTCAGCGGCCTCCGACACTGGACATAGGCCAGTCTAGATCAGTGTGACCTCAGGATGCCCTGTAGACCACAGAAGATGCCCACTCCATCCTCACACCTAACTTGCATGGGGCTTGGCCCACTACCATCCTCTTCTCCTTCCCTAGCCCAGGCCTTGAGCTTGTGGTATCCACTGGCCAGCCAGCTGAGTCCACAGCACACTTTGCTAAAAGGTTTTCTTTGCTATTTTTGTGGTCTGTGGAAAGGTATGGAACTGTAAGGGATGCTGTTGCTCCTCTTAATCTTTGTAAAAGGGGCCATGTTCCAAGGGGTCAGGGCTCTGGCTAGCTTGTATGTAACCCCTGTGTCTCTTGGGTGGAAATTCCTTTAGGGAAAGATGAACAGTAATTATTTTTCTGAGTGTGTGAAGAGAAACTTTCTTTCGAGGGCATAAACTCTTAGTCACTTATGTCAAAAGGTAGGGTGGGAGTTGGAATGTGTAGCTCCAAGACAAATCTCTTGTGCCTGTTACTCATTTTTTCTTGGCCACATCCTTGAAAAGTTCTGCCATGAGGATAACACAGCTACAAAACAAAGGAGAGAAGATGGGCTAGTCTGAGATGACCCCCCAGTCGCTAGGGTAGATAGAGCTCTGCTTTGTGCATCATTTCTATCTCCAAATTTCAACTCCTACCTAAGGAAATCCAGCCGCCATCTTGAAAAACGTTATTGAGGACTCAGACAACCTTTGGCTCTAAGTGAGCCAAGAGAATTAGGCCTAAGGCTCTAGGTCTTGCCCAAAGTATGAGTAAGTCAAGGAAGGAAGCCAACATTTCCTAAGCATCTACTGTATGCCAGGTGTCATGTTTGGTACCTGCCATAGCACCTCCAATAGTCCTTAGTACCCCAGCAAGGTACTATTATCATCTCCATTCTGCAGCTGAGGAAATCAAGGCAGCCTGCTGTCCTGAGTTCCAAAATAAAAAAAGATAATGGCCATGAAAATTCTCTCTACCATTTTCTTTAGACTTTCTCAGCCAAGCAATTACTTTGTGGAGGAAAAATAAGGCTAGAAACTTCTGAGTAGAGAACTCCATGAGTAGAAATTTAATTCTTTTTTTTTTCTCTGATGCCAGTTCTTCTGGGAAGCGCTGAATTTCAGATATATTTTAGTAGCTCATTGCTGGCTTCCCAGGAAAGCTAGTTTTATCTAATTTCTTCCTTGGTGAAAACAATTCTCTTGTTCCCTCAGGCTAGGAATGAGCCAGCAAGGGACATTCTCTCTACCTTGGTCTCTGGCTAGTACTTAGGCACAATATCTGATAGCCTTAGGTGGCCTGAGATCTAGAAAGCTCCATCTTGCAGGCCAGTGTTGCCCTAAACAGGATAGGAGAGGCAAAGAATTCAATAAGGCACACACTTTGCCCACAAGGGCTCAGTATATACCAGGGAAACTGAACTACAGTGCAAAAATAATGGAGCCTACCAATATTCTCTGAGCCTAGGCACAAGAGAGACTCATCTTGCCTAAGGCTTCCTGAGCAGCCTCCATTCCAGCTGGGTCTCAGTGGGAAGGAAAGGGAAGAAAATGAAATGCAAGCCAAAGTATCCACATGTACAATGCCAATGAGGTGTTTTTTTTAAAAAAAGAAAAAAGGTATCAGGAGGGTCAGAGGTGGGAGGATTGCCCAGCTAGAATGTAGCCAAACAGGAGTAGTGACAGGATGTGAGCCAGGGCCAGGGAACAGATGCCCGACAGAGGGTACAGATGCCACCCTGCAGGCAACAAGAAGCTAGCAGACCTCTTCCATGATGCGTTCAGCTTATTGCTGGAGAAGGCTGCCCCCCCCCCGGACCAGTGGGGCTGCTGCTTTTCCTTTCATCAGACACTGTGAAACCATCCCCTTAAGCGCGTGCTTTATAATATCATATGTATTTTGTCTGTCTGCTCATTATTTTGTTGCTGGAACAAAATATGCAGTAAATCATGAGACAGCTCCTAGGAGAAACCCAGGGTCTCTGCTTTCCTACAGATCAGGGTCAGCAATCCACGCCTTTAAGCCTACTAGGAGAGGACATGAAAGGAGCCCCAGGAACCGCTTCCATTGGTATGGAGCTGTCTAGAAGTCTAGGGACAACAGACTTGATCAAGGAAGGCTGACACTTTGGTGATTCAAAAGGAAACATCTCAAAGTGAAGGCAAGCAAAGGAACCCAAGAACTAACTTGCTCTTTTCCTTTGATGGGTTAGTCCCTACAGCATGGCACCCACTGGTCTTCCTGGCCTCCTCTGGCTCTAGCTCTGTGTCCTAAGATGGCCCTACCCAACCTCAAGGAGCCTATGGCCTGGTTATAGCATATTGCATGTTATTTTCTCAGCTCTGAGTTCATCCAAACAGGGGAAAGGGAGAGGGAAGGCTAACACAAGTCTCAGGACTTTGCCTGCTCAGGAAGGGGTGCAAAAGCTGGCAGAGAAAAATTGACAGTGGCTTCTATCATTTCAAATGGAGGAACTTTAAAGAATGACTTCAGGGAGAAAGAGACATAGAAACTCTGGCCATGGCAGGGTAACCCAACAATCCAACCACCCTCCAAAGAAAGGGGTAGTAATCTGCTGTTGGGCAAAGTGCATGAAAAGGAAACTGAAGCTCACAAATGGAGATGATTTCTCCAGGATCTCACATGAGGGATAAGCAGCAGGATTTAGGTAAGATGAGGTAACAATGCACAGAGATTTAGGCCTGATCCCTGGTTTAGGAAATCTCCCAAACAAATACAACCTCCCCAGAGTATGTCCTTGCTTCACTCTGGTTACCAGATAGGCTCAGCCTTTTGTAAGCAGAGGATAATAATGCTCTTGGTCTCTGAGGCCAAAGCTGGATTCAGCTCATAGGTGACAAAGAGTACCCTTGCTTCATTAGCAAAGATCTTCCTATGGTTTCCACTCCTAGACATGGACTCTATTTGGAAAAGATAGAAGGAATTAAACAATGAGCTAGGAATTGTTCACCTTTACATGTGTGGATGGCCTAGACAGCTTCAGGATGTATCTCAGCTGCATCCCCATGCTATGTCCTGTCTTCCTTTCTGGTGTGAAGATTATGGACCAACCAGAGGCCTCTGGGCCTCTAGCTAGCAAGCCTCCATTTATAGGAATGAAAGGGACCAGCTTATTGTGGGGATGGCCTGAGTAATGGTCCAGCAGATGTCACCCATCCCATGGAATCAGTAGAACCCAAACATGGGACTCATTACATGCACGAGTTTACTTCTTACATTCCTAAGGAAAGTCTGTGATTATCACAAGCACCATTTTACTGAGGAGGAAACAGTCTTCAGAGGGAGAAATCTCTCAGCCAGAGTTCCACAGCTAGTAAATGAGCAAGCCAGAACTTACCTGGTTTTCCTAAACACAGATGCAGTCTTTTCCCACCACCATTGTATCTCTGTCTTTCTCATAAGATTACCCAGAACATCAGAGACTAGAGTAAAACAAATCATTCAGTGGATCTTGGTAAATCCCCAAGCAGACGACAGAAGGCATAAAATGCCTTCAGTCTCATGTTTGACTTTAACAATTCTAGATTTATTTATTGCATTCTATTTTCTAATTTATCCTGATACTGGTTTTAATATGCTTTTATAAATAATTCTTTGAAAAATATGTTCCCTATTCCTCACATGGCTTTGATTTGCTCATTCTACACTCATGGACCCTAGAGAATCAAAGCACAATGAGCCAATGATGCTGCTCCTTCCTGAGGTCAATGCTAGACTCAAGTTCAAGACCAGCTCACCCTCCCCGCAGCTCAGACCCTTCACTTTGAGGGTACATTGACCTTACTGTTTCTGGTTTCACTTCAACTAAAGTCTCTTCCAGTTGCCTGCTGGAAGGAACCCACTGACAGACTAATATGGCATAGCCTGCCATATGGAATGGTAAAGGCTGAGCCTACAAAACCCTAAAGGAAAAGGGGCTAATCCTGACTCCTACAAAGAGGTGCCAGTATCTAAGCAGACATTGATGGAATGCCATGGTTGCTAATGTGGGAAAATCTGAAGGCATACCTCCCATTAAGGCCTTGACCACACACACTCTCTGGGTTCCCACAGGTAGCACCTTGGATGAGGACACTGCCAGGAAACCCAGATTACTCTGGTGCAGGGCACCATGGTGAGATGATGTTGGGAAAGGGGAGAGCTTATTCTTTGTTGCAATGACTGACTTGGTCAATTTTTGGTTATAGGATGTTGAGCCACACAATTCAAGGAGAAGGGAATATAACAGGGGAAAACCTTGGGGCGCTTAGAAGGGGTAGGCAAGGGCAGAAATGAGCACCTAATGAGTACTTAGAACCAATGATGCTAATAGACCGTTGAGCGAAGTGGTTGCTTCTCTGCTGTAGCAAGATAGGATATCATGCAGGGCTTATCAGACCCTTTTGGAATAAGAGTGCATCCTTGGAACGAACCTCAGGGTCATTACGAACAAATGATGATTGTCCCTCTGGCCAGTCATGTGTATCCATTTTCCACTTGCAGTTGCTGTGCTGGCCCACTGGGATCCTCATCAGGAT